GCTGATATGATTGCAGTACTAGACAAGGTAGAACAAAACTTCAAAAAGGTGGGCATAAGTTGTGTACAAGGAAATGCATGTGCGCCTTATGCAGTCATTTGCCATGGTGACTTTTGGAATAATAATATATTATATAAATTGGATGTAAGTTACAATACATTTAGCTACATTATATACTAATATTATTTTATTTTTTTTTTTCAGAGCAACCAATGCGCTGAATCTGCAAAATTTGTAGACTTTCAAATTGCTCGGTATGCTGCCCCAGTACTCGATTTAATTCATTATACATTTACTTGCACGGAAAAAACTTTTCGAGATGCTCATCTTAATGAATTACTTGATATCTATTATAAATGTTTAGCTAAACATATATGTCTATTCGCTTTAGACCCAACAAAAATTTATCCAGAGCAAATTTTCAAGCAACAATTATGTAGATATGGAATTTTTGGGCTATGTATGGCTGCATTCTCTATACCATTTTTTATATCTAATTCTAATGAATTAGTGGATTTGGATGAAGTTTGTGAAGCAATTTCTGTAATATCTGCACCTGAGGACTCAACAACACAAAACGCAAACAACAGTGTACCGAGCTCGTCAAAGGACTCAGCGAACAAAAGTGAGGAAAATAATGAAAAGAATCGTGCATTAATTAATGATTATTATCTTTTAACTCCACGTTCGGAGCCTATATTTAAAAGACGCATGACAGGGGTTGTATGTGATATATTAAAGTACGACATGGCGGATTATGTATTAAATTTATAAAAGTAGTAATTATGTTATAGAAGTACATTATTATCTTCTTTTTAAAATATTAATTTATATTTATTTTATTTAAACTTATAAATATATGTAATAAATGATTAAGAAAATTATGTAAAGTATATAAACAATACAATTTGTTTCATATATTTATACATATAAATATAAATAGTATATATAAAAAATAATATATAAATATAAATTTATATTGTATTGTTTATATATTTTATATAATTTTCTCATTTATTCATTTATATTTTATTGCTTATTTGTTGTATGTAAATTTCTTGTAAATTTGTTTTATGTACTATTAGTATATTTATATAATTTATTTAAAAATGTTATATTTTATAAACATTTACGTACCTTATAGTTTAATATACGGCATATTTTAACTTATTTAAAAGTATTAATGTTTTCAATATCTTGACTTATATTAATCGATACTAATATATTTATTTATAAATTCCCGTAAATCCTATATGCAGCACAGAAGCACGAAATTAATCTATATTGCATTATTAATGTAATATTTCTAATAATAGTTTTTTTCGTACCTTCTATAATACTTATGCTGTTTTATATAATTGAAAACTATAATTCTTATATGAGAACTTAATTCATCGAGAAATATGAATTCAAAAAGTCTTTCACAAAACCAAGCAACAGATGAAAAAAATATTTTGTATATATGTAAATAGTTAACAAAGTAAATTTAATAAGTCAATACAAGCACTTCTATAAAATATAGATTTAAACAAAAAATATATTAAGTTTATGTAAATGTACAATTTTGAAAAATAAGCCGTATTTAAAATAATTTATTTTTATATATAAATAGCTGTCAAAGTTAATACAATAAGTCAATGAAGGACTTCTATAAAATAATGATTTAATTAAAAAATATGTTTAATTTATAAAATTTATATACAAGGGGAAGATTTTGGATTTTACATCAAACTCTCACTTTTTTAAAAACATTAATAGCACAAAGTTTATATAGTTTATTATAATGGTTTTAGTAATATATATAGGTAAACAAAAATTGTGATTAGTTTATATAAATGATGTCTATTAAGGGGAGTTTTTTTTTAGCCACCCAATTTACCTACCCATTAGGCCATTTTTCAAAACATATAATTGATGTTTTTTAATATAATCTTTTGATATAAACTTTAGGTTGGTTGTCAAAAAAACCCCCCTTAAAACAATCTCTGCACCTATATGCCGCTATTATATATCAATTACCATATTGTCATATTTATACGAGTAACTTTTTTAAATATAAGATTCGGACTATATCTATAATCGAATATACTATACTATACAAATCTTAATTTATATGTTATGTTATGTGATTATTATTGTACAATATATATTGATCTTTTAAAAATCTAAGTATTTAAAATATTTTAATATAGAAAAAGATAACATTTGTGAACAAAAGAAAAGTCTATTCTAAGTATCTAAAAAAGCATGTAACTATTAGAACTATCAAAAATTGGACTAAGTAAAACTTTCTTTGACTGATCAGATATAGTTTCATAAATAAGTTTCTCTTTATTTATAGAATTTATTAAAATTATATATTTTATTTTATATCTTAGTATGTGTATAAAGATGCCATATTCTATATCAATATATTAATATTATATATATTCTATTTATATTTATTTTGTTTTATAGTTGTATAAATACGTTAGTCAGTTCACTTGTGATTTAAAATATTTATATTTATTTTAATTCAATTTATTTTTATAAATATTTATATTTAAAGTATATTTATAATTATAAATTGAATTTAAATATATTGTTATAATATTATGTGAAATATATATTTAAAATATGTTTATAGTTATAAATTAAATTGAAATATTATATTGTTGTAATATTATGTGAAATATATATTTAAAATATATTTTTAATTATAAATTAAATTGAAATATATACTCAATTTGTACATGACGTAAATAATTAAAATTAAAAATTAAAAATAATATTAAATTAATACAGGAAATATAATATTCAATAATATTTTATATTTTTATATATGAAATTTTGTAACATTAATAATATAATAAATAGTAATAAATACTATGAAAAATGCTTCATTATATATATGAAACGAATTTATTTTGATTCCAATATATAATATATACGATTACTCTATATACCTATATATAATAATTGTGATAATTCTTTTGAATTAGTATTCAATAATTTTTATAATTTTATGCATAGAATTTAAACATTTTTCAATTAATTAATAATAATAATTAATGTTAGTATATTTTGTTTTTTATACCTTTTGTTATAATAAACAAGTAAGCTTGATCATTTTAATGTACTCGATTAATTTTTTATGATAATTTATTCATTCATTAATTTTATTTCGTATATTTAACAATTAAGTGTTGGAATAATTTACTATTATGATTTATTATTTAAACTTTTGCAGTATATTTAAAAGATTTTTTCTATCTTATATAAAAAATATGTAAAATAAAATCAATATAAAATTCATCTATAAGTCTGAAATAATGATTTCAAAAATTATATGCTCATAATTTATTTTATTCTTTGAAATTAAGTTTGAAATTAAAAAAAGTAAATAAACTATTTGCAACATATGATTTGTCTGTTATTCTTATTAAATATCGTATATAGATTGGCTTTATTAAAAAAATAAAGAAAACACATTTTTAGTGTTCCAGTTAAAAATCATTTAACTTGGCTTAAGAAGATTTGACTACATCACTTTCCGAAGAATATATCTCGCAATTGGCTACCTAAGCTCAAATAGCGTAATGTGTCTGTTTTTTAGAATTTTTGATCATACTTACTAATACTTCTATGGCGATAAGCATCAGCATACTTGCCTCGTTGACATAAACCCTTGATTTCAAACAATTTCAGAGAAAAAATCTAGCGATTTTAAACCACCATAACACGGAGTCCTGTCAAAATCACAGTTTCTTGATATCAAATGACTGGGGAACAGTGGCTTTAAATAATGGATTGTGATTAAAGCTGTGTGATGTGGTATATATCATCTTATTGAAACCAGAAGTACTGCATACAATTTTCCTGAAAAATCCGCATAAGAAATCAGATATCATAGCCCGATAACGCATCTGAATGACGGTTGTTGCTTTGTCATTGACGTCGTATAAAAAGTATGGTCTCATAATTATTTAGTACATATTCCGCACCACACTCTCTCTCTCTTTTTGGCAGTAAAGTGGAGCTTTTTAAAACATTTAAGGGCTTTTCATGGCATAGGAACAATAATTTTGTTTGTTTACGGTTCCATTTAACATGTAACGCATCTTATCACTAATAATGATTGCTTGCCAAAAATCCTTCTGAGCTTCAGCGCGTTCGTATAGTGTGTACTGCTCCATAGCCAACATTTCCTAAAACTGACGTTTCAAACACGAGCAATCATTTGTCATTCTCACCTTTCTTGTCAAAGTAACAGTACTGTCAGATGTGTCCTCCTAATATAGCCATTTATGCTATGTACTTTGTTTGGTTGGTTAGCTGGTTGATCGATGTATACCATTCGTATTAGCAAAGATACATCTTTTGAATACTACATTCCTTGTTAAATATCTCTGTAGATAAACTATATCCACCTAATTAAGTTTTACGTAGACCTTTTGATCTTATGAAGTCTGATAGACTACGAAAAAATATTTCCCTAAAAATCTGTTCGCTCTGTTAGCCAAAGCTGGGCTGTCACAGGAAAAGTGTATGGTGTGGAGAATAAGATGATCGTGATATTATAGTGATGTTATGTTTTTTATGTCTGTTAGTCAAAGCTGAGCTGTCACAGGAAAGGTGTATCTTGTGGAGGATTAGGTGATTGCGATATTACAGTGATGTCATGTTTTGTTACAATTTGTCATATTATGTCCAAAACAATCAAAATTTTTGGATGTACTGTATGAATGTATTAAGATATCTTTTCAATGTCTTCCTAATATTCTTTAAAATATTTGTATTATTTATACACTTAAGTTTGTAGTATATTATCATCGCTCAGAGACTTCTTTAAAATTTTAATGTTTTGTTCCTCAAAATTTTACACAGACTATATGACCTTATATTTGGATACAAAATAATGCCAACATCCTGATATGTATCATAAGAATACGTTTATATACATCTATATCCATAAATAATGCAGTATGATTGTTTAATAAAATAAACATTTTTTTTAATTAAAAAATTTTTCTGGAGCTCCTGAAGAGATTCCGTGTATATATATTTTATATACGTAATATAACTATATATATATATTAGGGTGGCCGTTATTTACGAATGTGTTCAAATTCTAGATGCCACCCCCTAAATTTATTCGAATACTCAAAAAACTACTAAATGTGAAGTTTTAGACTATTCGGATAATGTTTAGAGGTCGCTCATCGACCTTAAACTTCGGAAAAATGCCATTTTTTCACTTTTTTCAAATTTCTTCGCTCCCATCTCGCGTATTTTTCACCTTTGACTATTTGTACCAAATTAATATTATTCTTTACCATATTAGCTTTTTCAAATAAGGTAAAAATCAATCAATTTCGTCCACAATTAACTAAATTATTACTAAAACAAGAAATCATACTAGACGTTTATTGAAGCTTTCAAGAGCAGCATAAATATGGGAGTAAATACGAGTACGTATGAGCGAAAGCACAGTTTCTTGGACACAAAATGGTACAATATAATATTTAAAGAAAATCAAATACTTCCTCATTATATATAATTGTCCACACTTGATTTGAATAATATGCACAAAATAGATTAATAAATATAATAAAAGGAAAGGAGTCCTTAAGTAAACAGAAGAAATTCTCTTAGGTGTTAAGGATGAAATAACAACTTTTTGTTACAAAGAGCTACAAAAATCAATTTGCAGAGAAGACTATAAAGAACTATTGGAACTAGTTATCATCTCTTTGGGAGAAAGTTCATCACCAATATTCCGTGACCTGGACCAATGCACCATGCTCGTTGGATGTCCAAAGCCCTTTACTGTTTAAAGATATATTTATTTCGAAATGAGTTCATCTTTCGAAGAGCAAAAGCTAAAAGAAATCTGTTTGTTCATAATACATGTTTACGTAAAATATTGGTTCAAATGTGTTATAGCATCAGAAGCAGCTTACAAAGATTTTTGTTTTATAAAAGAAATGTATAATTATAGATGTATTGATAAGACAATATCTGAGGCTGCTATTAAGAAGATGTGTAACCATTTATGGTATTTATGAGATGAATGCATTGGTCTATCATTTTTTGATGACAACATTCCAATTAAAATTATAAAAAGTATGGTAAATACGTTAAAAAAAATTATATCAATGAATGTTGAAGTAGATAGTGGTGATAAAATGAAAGCCACGACAATGTGGACGATATTAAAAAAGACGGAGAAAAACGAATTCTTTTGAAGATGGAGAATGTAACCGATTTTTTATCGAAATCACTAGAGGATTTTGTGACAGCCAATACCATTAACTTTTTTAAGCGATTAAATATAAATACAGATTTCTTGAACCTAGAACCAGAAAAATGGAACCAACATACAGATTATGTACACGCGTTAAAAATTGTTCACAGTATAAGACCTGTTAATGATACGGCGGAGCGAGGAGTAAAACTTTTCGAAGAATTTAATAGAGCCCTTGGTAAAAATGAGCAAAATAAACAATATTTATTGCAAGTAATAACAGATTACAGAAAGACTTTTAAAATGTATACTAAAACAGTTTTGTCAAATAATAAATAAATATAATATTTTTTTTAAATAAATTACTTAAGGACTCCTTTCCTTTTATTATATTTATTAATCTATTTTGTGCATATTATTCAAATCAAGTGTGCACAATTATATATAATGAGGAAGTATTTGATTTTCTTTAAATATTATATTGTATCATTTTGTGTCCAAGAAACTGTACTTTCGCTCATACGTACTCGTATTTACTCCCATATTTATGCTGCTCTTGAAAGCTTCAATAAACGTCTAGTATGATTTCTTGTTTTAGTAATAATTTAGTTAATTGTGGACGAAATTGATTGATTTTTACCTTATTTGAAAGCTAATATGGTAAAGAATAATATTAATTTGGTACAAATAGTCAAAGGTGAAAAATACGCGAGATGGGAGCGAAGAAATTTGAAAAAAGTGAAAAATGGCATTTTTCCGAAGTTTAAGGTCGATGAGCGACCTCTAAACA